ATCAACCATCGTCTATCCCCCTTGATGACCTTGCTCAGATCGAGCATTTGCTGGAAGATCATCCGCCCAATGTCGACATTGATTCTGTGTGCCAGTTTATAGACCAACCTTGCTCGTTCCTCAGAGATGTGGTGCTTATTCGTTGAAGGGACCCAGTTGTAGGATGCGATGACCATCAGTGCAGCTATCCGTGGAGGAAAATCTCTCGAGGTTAATTCAGACCATGTTGACTGATGCCCTTGAGACAGATATCTTGATACCTCATAGATGGGCACAAGATCTGCCTCAGCCTCCTTTTTTCTTTCTGCTTCAGTCAGTGGCTCGCGGCGTAAGGTCTCGTTGATGATTCCTGGAGAAATTCGGACTTTAGCCCCCCTGATTTCCACTATGAAGACCTGAGATGGATCACTCGGTGACTCTGATGGTAGCCCTGCATAGAACTCTCGCACCACCTTGCTCATGTACGGCTCAAGTTCTGTCACCGTCCACCGCATTCTGCTCTCACGAAGTACCTCAAGGTACTTCCATTCATCTTCTTCGTCCACATCTACAACTCGTTCGCACCAGATGTGACGATCCTTGAACACCTGGAATCGTTCATCAGACACCACCCTCTTTTTGCTCCTGAGGTTGGCCTTCTTCTTCTTCTGTTTGACATGACTCGATTCAGCTTCTGGGCAAGGAACGGCTGGAGTTGATTCAGCTCTTGCTTCTGAGGCTTCAGCGGATGTAGTTCTTTTCTTTTCTTTCCGAGCTCGCTTGGCAGTAGGAACTGTCACCATGGCCAAGCTCCGCTTCCTTCTTACCTCGTCGATTTGCTCCTGAACCGACATCTCCTCTGGCCTCTCGTCTGTCTCAGATGGCAGACCTCTTCCTTCTTCATTCTCAGACATCACCCTTTCGTTGTCCTCGGGCTCAGCCTCTATTCGGATCTCCGATGCGGCTTCTCTATCCTCCCTCAGTTGATCGGCTCCTTGCGTTTCAGTTTCGACTCGAGGGCTTTCTTTGTTTTCTGCTTTGGGCTCATTCGTACCATCGTGTTCCTCCTCTTGTGCCACCGATTCATCCTGAGCTTCGTCGGGAAGCGGAATCTCTTCTCCAGATCCTCCGGTGAATTGGCTGATGAGTCTCCGCCTTCGTCTGCAGTGGCGAATGATTCGCTCTCGCTTCCGGTCCCCTTCCCTGTTCCAGACTTCTCTTCGCTCTGAATCACGGGTGGATTCTGTTCTTCACCACTCGATCCATCGATTAGATGAGGAGACGAAGCATCACCTGTTGCATGTGCCATCTTTGACTTCGATTTCTTTCTGATGAGCCCCCTTCGTGTTGCAGACACCATTTTATTTGCAGATCTAGGACTGAGATGCTTCGAATTGGGTCACACAAGTTCTTCGCACCTAGGGTTTTGGATCAATTCAATGTAGCGTCTCTTCCTCTTCCTCCTCCGCAAATATAGCCACATCAATTTCCCTCTCCTTTATTTGATTTTCCTTTTTCCTCATGGGCTGCTGTTGGGCCTTCCTGCATTAGCATCATTTGTCCATGACCCATTTCCTGTTTAACCATGACAAGTCTTTTTTCTAGCACAAGAACATCCATTAGTACACCACAAGGAACACGACAGTCATTGACACATTTAAACCAAAGAATTTGTGATGGTTAACATGAGTAGTAACCGTTCACCTCATCACACCTCAACTAGCTTTTGAAAACAGTTTTTGAGATTAGCTTATTTACCCAGATTCACAGATGACACATAAGCTGATTCAGCACATGACTCGAATGATCACTCTGCTTTTTCTTGATTCTTTGTGCCTTGCCAGGTTTGATGCTGAGACTAGCTTTCACACTATCTTGTCTTTATCACGCTCTTCATCAGTTTTGAACCTTTATTCAGCAAGAGAGAACCTTAGGTACTTGTCACAGTGAATTTTTTATTGGATACACTGTGACTTGGCAGCTTCCTTTCTTTTTCTGCCTTGGGTTTTTCTTTGAGCTTTGGACAAGTCTTCTTTTTGATGTAGGACCTATCTCTGAAGTACATATTATCCTGTAGCTCAGTCTTATCATTGCGGTTTCTCAAAGACCGACTTACATTGCTTTCAGGCTGTTTGGTTCTCTCTGTGAAACCTGTACTGATGTCAAGACATGACGACAAGATAGGTAGCTCTTTTTCTCCGACCTTTAACCCTCAAGGCTGAATCGAAACGTTATGTTCATCCTGAGCCTGTACCTGTATCAGTTCTGCACATCTCAAAGCTCTTGTTAAATTCCACAAACACCAATTGCATTTCTTAAAGTGACAAAACGATTAAAGTCCAGTGGTTTTGTGAATAAATCAGCCAGTTGAGATTCAGTGACAACATGCTCGATCACTACCTGTTTTCCTTCCACTAACTCACGGATAAAGTGGTGTCTTATGTCGATGTGTTTGGTCCTTGAGTGTTGTACTGGATTCTTGGAAATGCTTATAGCACTCTTGTTGTCACAGTACACAAGAAGTGGACCTGAATCCATTCCATAGTCAGCAGACATCTGCTTCATCCACAGTAGTTGGCTACAACAGCTCCCCATGGCAATGTATTCTGCTTTAGCAGTGGAGTGGGACACTGAGTTTTGCTTTTTGCTGAGCCACGAGATGAGGTTGTTTCCGAGAAAGAAACACCCACCACTTGTGCTTTTCCTGTCATCAGCACTTCCTGCCCAATGTGCATCACAGTATCTCACTAGGTTCTGATTCGATCCTTTCGAGTACCAGATGCCTAACTCAACTGTGCCCTTGACGTACTTGATGATCCTCTTTACCGCCTCAAGATGAGATTGCTTAGGTTTAGCTTGGTACCTAGCACAGATGCCAACACTTAGGCACAGGTCCGGTCTGCTCGCTGTGAGATAGAGGAGACTCCCAATCATTCCTCTATACAAGGTTAGATCAACACTTGTTCCCTCATCATCTCGCGTGAGGCTGGTGGTTGTGCTCATTGGGGTCTTTGCTTCTTTGGCTGAATCAAGCTTGAACCTCTTCAAGAGATTTCTGGCATAGGTGCTTTGTGATATGAAAACGCCTTCCTCAAATTGAGTGATCTGAAGTCCCAAAAAGTACTTGAGCTCTCCCACCATACTCATCTCAAACTCACTCGTCATGCTTGCAACAAAAGCATCAACTAGCTCTTGAGAGGTCCCTCCAAAAATTATGTCGTCCACATAAATCTGAACAACCATAATCTTATCTTTCTTTTCTAGTATGAACAAGGTTTTGTCCACACTGCCTCTCATGTAACCCTCGTGAACTAGGAAGCTCGCCAATCGTTCGTACCAGGCTCTGGGTGCCTGCTTCAGTCCATATAGTGCTTTCTTGAGCTTGTATACATGAGTTGGATTGCCTGCATCTTCGAACCCTTTCGGCTGCTCCACATACACCTCCTCCTGAATCAGACCATTCAGAAAAGCACTCTTGACATCCATCTGATATACCCTGAAGTTAAGTATGCATGCCATTCCCAAAAAAAGTCTGATTGACTCAAGACGTGCCACAGGTGCAAATGTCTCTTCAAAATCCACCCCTTCCACTTGGGAGTACCCCTGAGCCACTAGACGAGCTTTGTTTCGAACCACTGCTCCATTCTCATCAATTTTATTCTTGAAAATCCACTTGGTTCCCACAATGTTGCAGTCCATCAGTCGTGGCACTAGTTCCCACACGTCATTTCGAACAAACTGCTCGAGTTCTTGTTCCATGACAACGATCCAGAACTCATCCTGCAACGTAGTGTTGTTTTTACGGGCTACCCGGGCCCGTTTAAACCCTGCTCGTATAAAGCCCGCCCTATTAAAGCCCGCTTATATAAAACCCGTTTATATTTGTAATTTTTTAGCCCGTTTATTTAGAAGCCTGCGGGCTTAAATAGCCCTTTTAAGCCCGTTTATCTTTTTTTCAATCTAATTATTTAAATTACATTTGAATTCTTGTAATATTATGTATGTTATTATAAATTTAAAATATATATTACGTTTTTTTATATATTTTTAGAAAACATAATATCTTAAAAAAATAAAACTTTCTGAAATGAATAAACATATATCATAAACAAAATCCAACATTTCATAAGTAAATAAGTAATTAATAACAAAATCCAATTCAAAAATATAACATCAACGCTTTGTTCAAACAAACATAAAATTATAAAATAAATATTTGTAAAGATTATCTTTGATTTAAACTTGATCTTTTTCTTCAGGCTCTGCAAAAAAAAAAAAAAAATTAGAAATAACATTTAACTTAAAAAAAAAAGAGAATTTATAAACAACTTTCACAAACATAAAATTTTTTATCTTCTCCAATGCAGCAAACAAAGGTTTCCTCTTTGTCTTCCTTAACCACTGTAAAATGATTAAGAAAAGGTTCAAGTTCATGAAGAAACAAAATGATTCAATGTGGAGGTATTCAAATGGAGGCTACTCACAGTGCTTAGACGAAAAATAGAGCGCTCAACGATTAAAGAAACAACAACGAAGACAGTCAACACTAAAGCAACAGACCAAGTAGGCGATAATGCCAACGATCTCTCATTTGACTGTAGAAAATCTAAAAGATGTTCATGTGCAGTCATGGTTTGTTGTAAAATTGTTTGTTTTGTTTGGAACATTAGCCGACCAAAGGAAAATAATAATAAATGTTGACAAGAAAAAAGAAAATTAAAGAAAAGGTAAGAACAAAAAAGGTGGAAAAGTCAGAGCGAAGATTCGACTGATACCGAAGACAACCTTCCTCACATGATGATATTGATACTCTTCACTTTTCACTCACATGGGACCCACTTCATCCTCACTTGTTTTTTCGGGTACACGGGTACCCTTTTATTTCGCGGGTAAGCCCGTATAATAAACGGACGTAAATGGATCTACCCTTTTATGATTTCATATAACTAAACGGGTTACGGGCTTAAAAATTAATGAAAGGCCCGTATAAGCCCGCGGGCTTCAGGCCCGCAAAAACATCACTACTGCAACGCTTGTCTGTGATCTTTTGGTTCAATCACTGACACAAAGCAGGAATATAGCACCATCTCAGAGAACTTTCCAACCATTTTCTTGAAATCCAATTGAATGCCACGAGTCTTCCTCCCTTCATTCACCTCACCGATGATATCTGAGGCTGAATGATTCCGATGAACTTGCTTTGTGTTCTCCTGAGTCATGATCTGAGGTTTTTCGGTTGACACAGATGGTTGTTGCATCGCCTCTGTGTTACCCGATCCGCTTCATCACCTTCAGAATCACTCCCGATCAGAGGCTTCTCCCATTTCATCTGAGCGTAGTCATCGAACACTACATTGACTGACTCAACCAGAACCTTCGTCCTCATGTTGAACACACGAAAGGCTGAGCTATGGCCTGAGTAGCCCAGAAAAATTCCTTCATCACTCCTTGAATCAAACTTTCCAAGGTGATCCTTGTCATTCAAGATGTAGCACCTGCATCCAAAGACATGAAAGTAGCTTACGTTAGGTGTCTTTCCTTTCCATAATTCATAAGGAGTTTTTGATGTTCCCTTTCGCATGTACACCCGATTGATTATGTAACATGCTGTGCTGACTGCTTCTGCCCAAAAACGTTTGGGAACTTGATTTCCATAGATCATTGCATGAGCCATCTCCTGAAGTGTTCGATTCTTCCGTTCTACTACGCCGTTTTGCTGTGGGGTTCTGGGTGCAGCAAACTGATGAGCTATTTCATGACTTTCACAGAACAACTTCATGAACTTGTTCTGAAACTCTCCTCCATGATCACTCCTGACTCGTTTGATTGACCCTCGTTCATTCATGAGTTGTAGAGCCCAGATTCTAAAGCTATCCGCCGTGTCAGACTTTTCACGGAGAAACCTAACCCATGTGAATCTGGTGAAGTCGTCAACCAGCACAAACACATACTTTTTACCTCCCAAACTCTCTGTCTGAACTGGCCCCATCAGATCCATATGAACTAGATCAAGTGGTGCTTTGGATTGTACGTCAGGTACTCGTTTGTGTTGGACTTTCACCTGTTTGCCTTGGTTACATGCTCCACACACAAACTTATCTCCTCCCTTGATCTTTGGAACTCCTCTAATGCTCTCCTTTGAGATGAGATCATTGAGATTCCTGATGTTCATGTGTCCGAGTCGCTGGTGCCATAGCTGCAGATTATCACAGACAGTAAAACAGCTCATAACCGACCCTGACTTGTTCCACATGTAGCAATTATTGCCTGACCTTTCTCCAGCTAGGATAATCTGTCCATCATCATTCACTGCTCTGCATCCTTTGTTGGTGAATATCACAATTAGCCCTTCATCACATAGTTGACTTATGCTGATAAGATTCGCCTTAAGTCCCTGTACTAAGTATACATTGACTAGATCAGGCTGATCTTCGTCTTTTGTAATACCTTTTCCTTGTATGGCACCGACACTTCCATCACCAAACGTAACTCTTCCTCCCTTAATCTTCTTAAAATTTCGGAGGTAGCTTCGGTTTCCAGTCATGTGCCGTGAGCACCCACTATCGAAGTACCAAGGCTCTGACTCGTCTTCGTCGCTTTCAACTTGGGCCATGTTGCACTTGAATCCATGCCACAACATTGACATTGGATCCTCCCTGGAAGATCTCTTAACAGTGAATTCTCTTGGCTTGAAAGGATTCTTCTTCTGTTGTCCCTTAGGTTCGAATCGCAAATCCTCTTTCCTGACCCAGACTTGATTCGTGGATCCATTCCAACTGAACTTCTGTTGCTTGATCAGTTTCTGAACCATGTTCCATCTGCTGTAGCAGTATGCCTTGATATGTCCGATCTTGCCACAGTAATAGCACTCTCGTCCTTTTCGCAGTTTGGTGACAGGTCTTCGTCCTTCAGGCTGGTTGTATCCTGATGAAAAAAACTTGATTTCATCTGAGCTCCTCTGTTCCCATCCACTGTAACCCAATCCATGCTTTGTATTAGCTTGACATTCGTAGCTCAGGATCTTGTCCAGTTGCTTGGTTCCTGCGAACATCTGAATCTGCTTATTTAACTGATCTAGTTCTGACTCCAGCTTCTCCGATATCTGCTTTTCAACCTTTAGATGCTGCCTCAGACTTTCAGCTTGGTTGGCTAATTCCAGCTTCTCCTTGATCAGATTGACACTTCCCTGGCCAAGTGCATTTGCTGCTTCGAGATCTTTGCTGAGCTTGTCTACTAGTACAGACAATCTCTGGTTTTCTTTCTTCAATTCACTGTTTTCTTGGTTGAGACTAACTAGGACATGACGTACTTCCTTGTAGCTGCTTATGAGATCATCTTCCTTTTCTTCTTCAGGCTCTGACTCTGACTCCTGTCCCTCCTCAATTTCAGCGATCCCGATAAACGTCACGAAGTTGTTTGTCTCTTCAACTGAGTCATCCTCTGAGTCATCATCCGATTCTTCCTCAGCCAACATGGACTTGTCCTTCCTGCGATTTTGATCGTTGACACATTCCAGCTGAGTGTGTCCAAATCCTTTGCAGCCATAGCACTGAATCTTCCGTCGCTTGATAGTAGGACAGTCATTCTTGAAATGTCCATATCCCTTGCACTCATGACACCGCACCTCACTCTTCCTGTTTGACTTGTCCCCTTCAGTTGTCTTCTTGAAGGATGCAACCTTCTTCTGAGGTTTCCCAGTTTTCCGCAAGGCACGATCAAATCTTCGAACCAGAAGACTTATGGGATCGTCTTCCTCGTCTTCAGTGGTGCGGTTCTCACATTTTAGAGCTAGACTTTTAGGTTTCTTCAGACTGTCTACCTCCATCTCATGAGCTTTCAGCATACCTACCAATTCACTGAATGGCATGTTCTCTGTGTTGCTGGACACACTGAGTGCTGATTTGTACCCCATAAACCTCGATGGCAGACATCTCAAGAATTTCTTCACCAGCTTCTTATCTTTGTATTTTTTGCCTAACACAGCTGCTTCTTGCGCCAGAGCACTTAATTTTGAACTGAATTCAGAGATGGTTTCATCCTCCTCCATCTTTAGATTCTCAAAGCGAGAAGCAAGCATGTCCTTTCTTGAGTTTTGAACCTTTGTTGTTCCTTCGTACTGCATCTGAAGTATGTCTCATGCTTCTTTGGCAGTCTCAACACCTTGAATCAGCTCAAAAGTCTTTCTTGATATGTTGGTGTGAATGGTAGTCAGCGCCCTTGAATTGTACTTTGCTCTTTTTGACTCCTCTTCAGTCCAACTTTCTTCTGGTTTTGGATGAAAGACTCCGTTGGCATCAGCTACCAGTGGTTCTTCCCATTTATCAGTTACTGCCTTCCATGCCAGTGGATCGATCCCTTTGATCATGGATCTGATCCTAGCTTTCCAAAACCCGTAGTTCCCATCATCCAGGATGATCCTGGAGTTGTTCACCATTTCCTTATAGCTCTCCATTTTCTCCGCAGGATCTCACCTGTTTGTAATACACACAGATGACTGCTCTGATACCAAATGAAAATGTAAGAGTAGTAATACGGGAACTATCACAGAACACAACACAGAGATTTTCTCTTCAAGAATATTTCACTAGTAAATCTGTTTGTAACTTACAAGTATACAGAACCCGATTTAGAGCAACCTCAAGACACACCTTGATTTGCTACACTATTTTCACTTGTTCTTGAATCGATATGTGATTCAAGAACCTCTCACCCAAATCCTTTAGCACACTAGCTCACAAAAACTCTCACAGATTTTCGCTCACCCTTTGCTAAGTATTTTCTCAGTTGTGTTAAAAACCCTACAAGGTTTTTCACATGCCTATTTATACATAATAGGACTTGCGGCTACTCCTCGCCTAGATCCTCTTTGTGATTTCTCCAAACCTTCATGAGAATCTTCACTTTCCTTATCTTCTCCTAAGATAGAGGAAACTTGATATTTTTTTCAAAGATCCTCCAAGATACTCCAAACTTCCTATCCACGTCAGCTTCTCGTCTCTTAAAGTGTCCAGCACGTCCTGCAGCTCCAGCTCAGCTTCCAGCTCACCTCCACGTGTGTAGATTACTTAGCAAGTCTTCCCGTGTCAGTTCCAGAGCTAGTCGGACTACTAGACGTGCTACTCCAGCCTTGTTTGCATCTTCAATATGAACCTCTAAGATTACAGATAAGATCTAATTCTCACTATAAAGACAGTCAGTCCTTTGGGTTCTAAACCATTTTAGCAAATTTGAGTAATCTGTCTAAAATCAAACTGATAAGATTTGTTCATCCCTTAGATATGTCATTGCCCAAATTAAAGTAACCCGTCCAGTTCTACATGTAGGATCGAAAGGCTTCTTTGATATCCTTGCATTCCAGTGATGTCTTGTCCGATGTTATTCCTTAGACTCCACCCTAGCCAACTAATCAGCCCATGATCATTGATCTGGCATGTTGGGATTTGGAGGGTCCAGGGGTATCTCCCTTTCGTTCTTGTTGCGGGGCTTACTTCCTCCTTGCACTCTTTTCGTTTTTTTATTCTCTAACTCTCAGCTTCAATGAAAGCGTTTTGTAAGGTATCACGCTGGGAAAAATTATTTTCCGTTGAAAATAATATCATTTATTTTAGTGACCTCTACTATCTTAACATATTCAAGAGATAAGAAGAAACATCAAGGTCTCGACAAATTACTAATTCTCTCCTCTAGATAATATCGCAGATCCCTAAAAGTGCTACTGAGAGAAAACGAAACAAGTTGAGCATATAATACTATCTCCATTGCATTGTAACAAAGGAAATTCATGGTTCAAGTAAACAATCCTAACCACACCTTAGATTTAATATTTCAGTAGCTTTCAAGAAAGACTAGCAACATTTCCCACCTGTAGTCACATAATTCAGCAAGTAATAAAGATATAGGTAAACCTGTATTCTAGGTTTCAAAGTGTTTATTAAATCTAGGGACCACAATTTTAGTGAAAAATCTATTTGGTATAGTGGTTACAGCTTTCAAACACCTTTAATACATGTAAAGGTTCTAAGCTTGGTCACACAAACTTATTTTTTCTCCTTAATTAAATGTTCAAGATGTGTTTTTCGTGCTTGGAGTCCCACTTTTACCTAGCCCAGACTTTCAACAATGGTACTACATAGTTCACATTGGGGGTAATCATTACCTTTTCTCCTATTTAAAACTTCAATTATTTTGCCTACTCTAAGACTGAATCTATTAGTGATCCCAATCTATTATTTAGCAAAAACATATATCTTTGAGTCAAAAGAAATGTTTACTAATAAAAGCCAAAACATAGATAAGATTTTAATGTTTACAGGATATAAAAATCACCACAAACGAAGAAGAAGCATAGAGTTCACATAAACTTGAGTACAGACAGAAAACCATGAGGATCAGAGAACAACTACTTGGCATGAGGTAGAGAGTCTTGGAATGGTAAGGAGTTTCTTGAGGATAACACATTCTTGTTTATTTTTGGAACCATCCAAGCATATAGTGAGTTTCTTGAGGACTGGTGAGTTCTCAAGTAAGTAACTCACTAGCTCCATCTCCATCGCCTCCCCTTTCAAAGGCCTTTTGATCTCAACATACTCTAGAGATGTCAGGAAACACCGAGATTCGGGAACAATGTAATCAATCCCCACACTCTCCTCATAGGTAATAGATCCCTGCATGTACAAATACACAGATATATAACCATTTGCAAATTAAGACATACGAAGTTTAAGGTTTATATAGTAGACAATCCTCACCACTACAAGAGATTTTAGATTGGGGCATCTCTCAAGAAAAATTGGCAACATTCCCCACCTATAGCCACCGAACTCAACACGCAAGAAGGATAGGTTTCGGAACAAGGGTAATGGTTCACATCTTGAGTACTCATAAATGACCTACAACAACAACAACAAACAAAACAGAAATTTCGTCTAACAAAAAGATCATACTCGGAGCATTCAAAATAGTGAATTTGAACATAGATTACCTCGAGAGTCCTCGAAACGATGATCATATCCTTGATACCAGAGATCTCAGCGAGAAAATTACGAATCATATGTCTCTTATGGATATCATTAGGATCAAACTTCTTTTCCAAAAACAAGTTAAACACAGCGTCGATATCGACTTTTACAAGGGAACTCATATTGTTAAGTATGAAACTCGCGGTTCGGTCATCACAGAGCCTCAGATACTTAAGTCTAGGAGCATCAATCACAACTACAAGATCTTCAACCAAATATTCAGAGTCCGCAATAATAGTGAAGCTCAACAGAGACTGAGAACGAACACGTAAAACAACGGTATAATCACCGAGACTCCTCTCCATATCTAACCTTTCGAGAACCGGGCAGCCCGAGATCAGCGTTTCTAAAGCCGAATCGCTGGCAAATTTAACCGTATCTAGAACGATAGCTTTGAGACAAGGTAAAGAAACAAACTTGAGAGTAGGCAAGGTAATGCCATAGATGTTTAAGGACACTAAGCTCTTGCATGTGTAAATGGTTGGAGGTATCTGCATTTCATCGTCTTCCCAGTCTATGTCAGCAACATGAAGATGCTGAATTCTCCGCTTAGCAACAGTGTCCATCCACCGCTTAACATCAGGCTTAAACACATAATCCCAATTGCACTTTAACTTGAAGTTTTGCATGCAAGAATCGCTGTTAAACCAAGAAACGCATCGACAAAACTCACGAAAGCATCGTGTTTTCGAAAATAACCATACTCCAAGTCCAAACCAGGTACGAATCGCCAAAGATTTCTCCATCTGCTTGATAACAAACTAGTCTTGACCACATCTTTTGTGGAGAGATTTAAGAGTATCTCAAATATCAGTGAGTCTGGCAAGTTGCTCACTCTATCCATTTTACTCTGCCTAGAGAAAACACCAAAATCGATAAAGAAATGCGAAATGGACTTAAAAATCTTTCACACAGAATTTGAAAGAGAGTTTGGATAATCAATCGTTAGAAAGGAATCGAATGTACATATAGAAATCGCGAACTTAGCTGTCTAGCAAGAAGAGAGTAGATCAAAATGAAGCGAGATCGAGAAACCTAATCGTGGAATTTTCCGGTGCATGATTTTCTGGCGTCCGTTTAGGGTTTCTCTCGGTGGAAGAAGGGTAACATTTCGAATATTGTTTGGATTTGAAAACCTGTTCGGTTTAATTCAATCTAGTTCAGTTCCAAAAACCAAAAACCGAAAACCGAAAAGTTTGGTTCATATCGATTCGGTTAAAATTCCCGGACCTAGATTCATCTCATCTAGACCCGAAATGGTAGCTAGACTTTTCAAGTCTTGCACGAATACAGTATATCAATTTTGGTTCAAATGTAGCATATGACTTTTTTACTATTTTTCATTTTTTTGAATATATTATTTTCCTATTCCAAGTCTCTAAATTTGTTATTTAGCAAAAAAACATATTCAGAAGACGTGATTACTAATTTAGGCCAAAACATATTATCTTAAGATTTACAGGATATCAAAATCACCACAAAAGTAATAAGAAGAAGCATAGTTTGAGATCTTATAAACTCAAGTAAAAACTAAGAGAAAACATTTCGTATGTGTCCATAGTCAATATTGACTCAATAACTAATGAGGATCAGAGAACAACCACTTGGCATGAGGCAGAGAGTCTTGGAATGTTAAGGAGTTGCTTGAGGATCACAGATTCTTCTTTCTTTTTGGAACCATCCAAGCATAGAGTGAGTTTCTTGAGGATTGTTGAGTTCTCAAGTAAGTAACTCACTAGCTCCATCTCCATCGCCTCCCCTTTCAATGGCCTTTTTATCTCAACATACTCTAGAGATGCGAGAGAACACCGAGGTAAGGGCAAAACATAAATTCCCACCTTCTCCTCACGGTTAGTAATAGAACCCTGCTTGTACAAGAGTGGAAGAAACACAGTTAAAATATACGATACCTTCACCATTTCCATCTCAAATTATACGGAGTTTATGATTTATAAGTAGACAAGCCTTACCACAACAAGAGATTTTAGATTGGAGCATCTCTCAAGAAAGACTGGCAACATTCCCCACCTATAGCCACCGAACTCAACACGCAAGAAGGATAGGTTTCGAAACAAGGGTAGTGGTTCACGTCTTGAGTGATCATAAATGACCTACAACAACAAACAAAAAAAAAAGGTATCAGGCTAATTTTTATATATATATATATATATATATATGATGTACACTTAAAGCATTCAAACAGCGAATTCAACATAGATTACCTCGAGAGTAGTCGAAGCGATGATCATATCTTTGACACGAGAGATCCCAAGGAGAAAATCACGAATCATATTTCTCTTTTGGATATCATTTGAATCATATTTGCCGCCAAACACGGTGTCGATATGGGCTTTTACAAGTGAACCCATATTGTTTAATACGAAGCTCGCAGTTCGTCCATCAGAGAGGCTCAGATACTGAAGCCTGGGAGCATCAATCGCAAGGAGAAGATCTTCAACGTGATCGTCAGAGTCCGAAACAATAGTGAAGCTCAACAGAGACTGAGAGCGAACACGTAAAACCTCCGTATCATCACAGAGGCTCCTCGTTATGTCTAAGCTTTCGAGATCCGGGCAGCCCAAGATCAGCTTTTCTAAAGCCGAATCGCCGGCAAAGTTAACTATATCTAGAACGATAGCTTTGAGACAAGGTAAAGAAACAAACTCTGGATCAGGCATGGTTACGTCACAGAGATGCAAGGACACCAAGCTCTTGCATGTGTAAAGTGTTGGAGGAATCTGCACTTCGTCGAATTCATTGTCACAAAAGAGAAAGTCATTCACGTGGAAATGCTGAATTTTGAGCTTAATAACAGTGTCTACCCACCGCGTGACAGGAATATCAGGCGCAACCATGTTCGAAGTTGTACAACTTGAAGTTTAGCATGCAAGAATCGCTGTTAAAACCAAGAAACCCATCGATAAAACTCACGAAAGCATTGACCTCTCGAAAATCATTATAGTCCAAGTCCAAACCCGGTACTAATCGCCAGAGATCTCTCCATCTGCTGGATAACAAACTAGTCTTGACCACATCTTTAGTGGACAGATTCAAGAGTATCTCAAATATCAAGAGCTTTGGCAAGCTGCTCACTCTATCCCTTTTACTTCCACAATGCTGTTGACCCTTATTGTGAGAAGGTCATATTTATACAAAAGATTTTTCTCCTTTGTGAGCAATGTAGGACAAATACACTTCCACTAAACTTCCACTTTTAGTTATAGCCAATAGGAACATTTCATTTCCATAGGCTCAAACCCAAATCTCAAATGAATTTATAAGGCCCATTTGCTTATTAAACTTCATTTCTTATTCACACACAAACTCAATATTACAAGTCCAAATGCTTATTAATATTGGGTTCCAACAATCCCCCGCATGTATAGAAATGACTCTATACATATGCAGACTCGATAGACTATGCAGACTAGACTCCAACTAGACTACTGACTCGACAGACGGACTTTTCGAGAGTATAAGCGAAAACTAACTGTGTCTGAGGAAGTAGCGTTTTTCAGCCTTGAACTACTCATTGTTAATATCTGTCGGATTTACTCTCCAGGAAGTGAACATGATGTCTTGAACCACCCGGATTTTGGTCTAAACCAAATCAACAGATACAACCCAGCTTTGTCTTCTCGTAGCATTCAGTTCTCTATTGTGTTCATTGTGGCCTTGAACGTGCCTGGTTTATCATGAGTGAACTTGGAGAGTATAGCATTGTCTTCGTTCTCCTAGAAACGGCCTCATTTCACACTCACTAGGTGATTGCCAAGTACCTTTCACATACACAGAAAGTGTCATGTTATACTCTATATACATGTATATGAAGGCTATGGTCTTATCTCATTAAAAGCCATAAAGCTTAACCTTACATAATTACAGGAAGCACTGTTTATCATCATGGAAATTGAGCATTTTTCAGTGCTTTTCTCAGATTCTGCTTGATTTAGTTGTCCCTTTGAACCAACCTCTTGGGATCTCCAATCGCGTAGGTGGGGTTTCCATCAAACATCCTCTTTCGTGATAGGCAATAAGCCAATTCCCTTAGATGATTTAATGATTTGATCTCGCGGCAAGCTTTTGGTGAACGGATCCGCTAAATTTTCCGCTGATTTGATGTAATCAACCGTGAGTACACCACTTGAGATCAGATGCCTAATGGTCTTATGTCGTCTTCGTATGTGACGAGACTTGCCATTATACAGATTATTCAGTGCCCGAGAAATAGCCGACTGACTATCACAGTGTACACGTAATGCTGGCACTGGTTTTTCCCACATCGGGATATCTTCCAGGAAGTTCCGAAGCCACTCTGCTTCTTCGGCTGCTTTGTCTAAAGCTATGAACTCTGACTCCATGGTTGATCTGGCCAGGAGTGTCTGTTTGGAAGATTTCCAGGATACTGCTGCTCCAGCGAGTGTGAAGACATATCCACTTGTGGATTTGGAATTTCTAGAATCTGAAATCCAATTGGCATCACTATACCCTTCTAACACTGCTGGTTCTTTACCAAAGTGTAGCCCATAACTCTTAGTGTATCGCAAATAGTTCAACACTCTAGTTATTGCTTTCCAATGAGTATGACCTGGATTACTTGTGTAGCGACTTAACACGTTTACCGCATGCGCTAGATCGGGTCTTGTACAATTGGTCAAGTACATCAGACTTCCAATTACCCGTGCATACTCCACCTGTGATACTGGTTCACCTGTGTTCTTGGTTAGGTGAACTTGCATATCCATTGGAGTTTTTGCGGTTCCATTCGAGTAGGTCTTAAACCTCTCTAGGATCTTTTCAGCATAGTGATCTTGAGACAGAGTAATTCCATCTGAAGTTCGAATGATCTTAATCCCAAGAATGACATCTGCAAGTCCCATGTCTTTCATGTCAAATTTGCCATTGAGCATGTTCTTGGTTTGTTGAATGATATCTTTGTTACTGCCAATAATCGGCATGTCATCTACATACAGATATAGTAAGATGTATCCGTTTGGAGTACATTTGTAGTAGATGCATTTATCACATTCGTTAATGCTGAAACCATTTGACATCATCACATTGTCAAACTTTTCGTGCCATTGTTTTGGAGCTTGTTTCAGTCCATACAATGATTTCACGAGTCTACACACTTTGTGCTCTTGACCCTTAACCTCGAAACCTTCGGGTTGTTTCATGTATATTTCTTCTTCTAAATCACCATTTAGAAAGGCAGTTTTAACATCCATCTGATGGATTTCCAAGCCTCGCAAGGCTGCTACACCAATCAATATTCTGATCGAAGTTGTTCTCGTAACTGGAGAATAGGTGTCAAAAAAAATCTAGACCTTCTTTTTGTCTGAATCCTTGCACCACAAGGCGTGCCTTGTACTTATCTATAGAACCATCAGCTTTCAGCTTGGTCTTGAAGATCCATTTACACCCTAGTGCTTTGAACCCTTGAGGTAAGTCAGTTATCTCATAGGTATGATTCTGCATTATAGAACTCATCTCACTATTGACAGCATCCTTCCAATAAGGAGCTTCTGGTGTAGACATGGCTTCTGTGTAAGATCTCGGTTCATTCTCGACAAGAAAGACCATCATGAAATCTTCACCAAAAGTTTTTTCCTTACGAGCTCTTTTGCTTCGTCTAGGTTCATCTTCAACCTGTTCTACTTCCATCTCATTTACAGAAGTAGTCACATCTCTTTCTTCACGAGTGCGTTTAGTAGTTTGCTTATCCCTATATGGAAATATGTGTTCAAAGAAAGAAGCATTCATTGATTCCATGATAGTATTCACTTGGACATCTGATACATCTGACTTATGTACCAGAAATCGATAAGTACTACTATTGTGAGCATATCCGATAAAGATACAATCCACAGTCTTAGGTCCAATTGTGACCTTCTTTGGAGGTGGCACTGCGACTTTTGCTAAGCACCCCCACACTTTCAGGTATTTGTACGAAGGTACATTACCTTTCTAAAGTTCATACGGTGTTTTGCCAGTTACCTTATGAGGTATTTTGTTGAGGATATAATTTGTGGTGAGCAGTGCGCCCCTCCCCCCCCCCACAGATTTTGGGTGTCCCGGATTCCTGCAACATTGCATTCATCATCTCCTTCAGAGTTCGGTTCTTTCTTTCCGCAACTCCATTGGATTCGCAGCAAATACACGTAACAATACCTTGTACAATCATCAATGAAAGTCACAAAATACTTTTTACCACCTCTTGATGGTAGATATTTTAAATCGCACAGATCAGTGTGGATTAACCCAAGAGGTCCGGTAGTTCGTTCAACATGAGGTGATGGTGTTTTCGTGAGCTTTGCTTGGACACAAATTTCACATTTGTCTTTGCTAATTTTGCACTTTGGAATCATGTTCAAATTCATCAGTCTTTGAATAGACTTGTAATTAACATGTCCCAAACGTTCAAATTCATCAGTCTTTGAATAGACTTGTATTACGAGATATTCTCCTATTTCCGCGAGTAAAAGGATTCGGAAATCTTCCGTTATTATCTGGACGCAATCTTTTATTTCCTAAGATTTATCCTTTCAATATGCAAAAA